CAACAATGCAGGTACAAATGGTAATATCTGAAAACAGCAAACGTAACTCCCAAATAACTAAGGGGAAGATAAGTGGCAAGGATACAAGCAAAACCTTCCACAAAGTGCCAATTTGGTCAGTTTTACGGAATAAAAAAAATTGAATTTTTCCACACACTGCTGCCCACTTAATGCACTGAGTTAAGTTATGAAAAGCGGAACCTACCGAAAGTCAGTTAATTAGTTTTAAAATGCCGGAACGTGTAGCTTAGTCTCTGGTGCTCCCAGAACATTCACGACCGACATCAATCCCCTTCCCCTGTGGAGTAAGGCAGCAGAGCATGAATAATTTAGCTATCAAAGGACCCAAGGCAGTGAACAGCCTAACGCAACTGACTGAATTAGTGATTGGGGTCTGTGCTGGAAGCTTGTTTCGCCTTTGCCGGTATGATTCTGTGTTGACCTTAGCAACCGTTCTGTGTGCAAATCAAGTTAACGCCATAGTTGTGAAAACAGGCAAAAGTGCTACAAAGAAAATATTCAAAGGTTTGTTGTTGTATTTGTTTAAGTTCACTACAATTACTACTCAAATCTTTTCCTATGTTAAGGTGCCTTTAACCATGGACACACATTAAAGTGCAAGGAGCTTTTGAAATAATAAAAGAATATTTGAGAAAGTCAAAATTTACACAGCCTATGCGGTGCACTTGCTGCAATCTTGATACGCCAAATGTTTAGTTACGCTATTTTTAACAGGAAGTGAGTGTGAAAACTTCCAACCACAAAGGGCAAAGAAGCATGGAGGCAGTGGAAACAGGAGCACCGATTAATGTGCCTGTTGGTGCTGATACATAAGAGGGGCATAAAGCTAACAAAACACTTTATTGTAGGGAGTAAGTCACCAGCTCATTTTTATGCAAAAATCTCCTAGCAACGGAGTTTCTTAAAAGAAGCTTGGATTTTGCGCCTTTAAGCGAATGACAATAGCAATGCATTAAAGTACATTGATTCAAGTCTTACTTGTCAGAGATAGGAAAGTCATTAGCCGTACCTTACTAGGCTACAGTTTCAACCAACTGTCACTCGCTCCCCTTGATCCCAACATTCTAGACAAAATAATCACAATAGGAGACTTAAGGGCGTGCTTCAATGTCAGCTAATTGACTACGAAAAAGTGGATTTGTAAATAAAGGGAATCGCATTGGCAGCTAAATTTGAGAAAAAAATAGGAGCAGACTCCTGCTGAAAATTATAATTAATGAAAACTCCCTTTGAGTTGGTGTATGCGTTACAGATGATTGCGCCTGGTTTTAACAGGAGTCAGGTGAGATGCCATTTGAATACAAATACCTCAGATACCATCAAAGATATGCTAACAGTCCACTTTGGTAGACGTAATCGGATAATGAGAAAAAAAGTAGTCAATTTGTGCAAATTAAGGCACACACCACTCTTGACACCCTTAGATGAGGTGCCGGCGGCATTAGCAGTGGCGGATGCGGCACCGGCGTCTGTAGCGGGCGTAGTCGAGTGAATGGGTGGAGGGACTGGTTTGTGGGTTTGTCCGGTGGCCCGGTAAATCGCCTGCACCCACAGCTGCCTCTCATTCTCATCCTCCGTTGTGAAGTACATACTATCACCTTCCTTCACCAAATTGAAAAAGTACGCTCCTCCGCCCAACTGTACCAAGTCTAAATGCAGATGAGTAGCAAAATGCATGCACAATTTTGCATTACAAAGCGTTTAGTCAACACAACTAAAAGGTCCTTTTATGCATCTATAAGCCTAAATTTGGGCTTTATTTTTCTACAAATCTTTAATTGTGTTCCTTTGGAAAGTGGACGACTTAAACTGTATTAATCGCTTATCTCCGCCCACGTGTATGAGTGCGAAGACGAGGGCTTCCTTGAAGCACAAAAATAAGCGGGAGACCATGCTCCTGACATTGAGATGCAGCAGCATATATTCACAACGCTTCGACAATGTAAATGCGCTTCCGTTGGGAAAAAGCTGTCGACTGTTTCGTTACTCCTTGATAATTTTTTTATTCCATTTTAACGATGGTGTTTTAATGCTGATGCCTTGCTATGATTTGTCGAAGGTCGTGGAGTAGCCTGTTTCAATCAAAACTTTTTTGACTCCTTTCATTTTCATTCTGTTCCAAGGAAACTAAAACACTCACACCATTTTGCCGCATTTTAATACAAATCTGCAGAAGGCTAGCACAAGTGCTGGTGGTAGAGTCGTT